GCTGAGCACCCACGAGGTGTTTGCACAACCCAGAGGTGCCTGTGCTGGCTCAGACCCATTTCATTCTGCACCACTGACTCTCCCAAAGGCTCCTGACTTTCCTGCTTGGCCGCCTCCCTCCGTGCCACCGGGAGGGGTCCCCGTGCTGGTGCTCACCCTGTCCCACTGTCCCCAGCCTGCCCACCCCCGATAAGAGCAGCTCTGCAGGAGCCCCACAGTCCTGCAGATCTGCTCCTGCTGCCAGCCCAGCCTGGGCACAGGGAGCTGTCAGAGCCCTCTGGCACAACCATCCTGCCCAGAGCTTCTTCCCCTTCCACCTCCACCATCCCTGCTCATGAGGGAAGGGGAACCAGTGAAATTTAAAAAAAAACAACAAACCAAAGGCACAAAACAACAGGCATGCACTGGGTATTTACAGGATTGGGAGAAGTATCCCTACCTGCAGTGCTCCTCTGGAGAAGACTCCTTTCAAAAAAAGAACACAAAAAAAAGCCTTTACTGTTCTTTGATGGGGAAAAACAATGCCCAAGAAACAACTGCTCACCAACAGGGAGAACTTTTGGATGCTGTCAGCCACAAGAGTTATCTATACTGGGTGTTTGTTTGCAGGTCAGACACCAACTAGGAAAAAAAAATACAACCAAACAAAAGGAAACAACCCAACCTTAGCTTCAACTCAAAGGAAATATTCACATACTTCAAATGCTTCTTTCTGATGAACCATCTCTAACCTTGGCCTGGATCCCACAGTCTCTTTGCATGTGTAATTTGCAATTCTTACCAAACAAACAAACAAGCTGCACCACATAAGGAAATGTTTCCAAACATGTAATTTCAACAAAGGAATGAGAAAGCATCCACCAAGAATGAAACTCATATGTTGTGAGTTGCCATGTGCAGCTCAGGAGCAGAGCAGGGAGCTCCTCACGCCCTGCTCAGACCTGTCCAGCCCAGAGGAGCTCCCTGGCCATGCTCAGATCCTGTCACACACACAGCTCTGCCCCAGAACTCATTAATTTAAAAAATGCCCAGTGACTCATTCTTGCTCAGCTTTGTCTGGAGCAGAGGGGTGGGACAGCAGTGGGACAGCAGGCTCGGAATCACCCACCTGGGCTTGTGGAATGGGTCATGGGCACAGCTGGAGGGGAAAGGCTCTGCAGCTGGAGGTGTTAATGTCGGCAGGCAGGTTCCCTCAGAACCCGGCTGCTTCGTGCACTTCCTCCAGAACGTTTGGGGTTACTCTATTACATAAAAGAGTGGAAAATTCCCGTTCCAAGCGGGGCTGTCACTCAGAAATGACTGCACGCCCAGCTGCTGTGCTGCCTCACAAGAACCACGCTCACTCTTTACACTCTATGGGGATTTTTGGGATACCCAGCGAGTTTGTGGCTCCAGGAAACGTGTCCGAAGCCAGGGCAGCTCCCAGTCCCGGCAGGGGAAGGTGCAGAGCCCACCCTACGATCCCGGGACCTCGGGGCTGCTCGGTCTGGCACTGCCACACGGCAGCTCCGGCAGCGTCCCTGCCACAGAACCCCGGCCAATCTCGCTCATCACAGCCACGTCTCAAAACCCCAGCGATGCAAAACCACCTGCGCAGACTTCCCAGAGAGCCCAGGACAGCCTTTGAGGATTTAGGCCCGAAATGCAAGCGCAAGCTCGGACAGTTCGGGGTCGGTTCCATCACCGGTACAAGCTGTCACCCGCCGAACGCAGCCCGGCCCCCCATCCTCCTCCTCCTCCTCCTCCTCCCTGAGCACTGACCGGCGGCCCGAGGCTCCGCGGGGCCTCCGCGATGGGCTCAGCACGGCCCGGCGGCGGCTGCAGCCCAGAGCTCCCGGCCTGCTCGGGCCGTGAGTCAGCCCCAGGGCCGGGCACGCCCGGGGCCGCGAGGCACGGCCCGAGAGGAACCGCCGCACGTACCGGCTCGGAGAACGGCCCCGAGGACGGCCCCGGCTGCCAGGGCGGTGCCGAGCCCCCGCCAGCCCCCGCGGAGCATCGTGCACCCCGCCCGGCCCGGTTACCTTGGCTGTCCGCCCCAGGAGGCGGCGGCAGCGCCGGCACGGCCCGGCCCGGCCCGGCCCGGCGTGCGGGGGGCGGCGCTGCGCCCGGCCAGCCCCGGGCCCGGCCCTCGGCCCGCCCGCTCGGCCCGCGGAGGAGGAGCGGGAGGAGCGGCGGCGCCGTGCGGGGACCGGCAAGGACGCGGCAAGGGCGGCCATGGCCGGCTCCAAGCCGCTGTCCCGCTTCTGGGAGTGGGGCAGGAACATCGTGTGCGTGGGGCGCAACTACGCGGAGCACGCCAAGGAGATGGGCAGCGCCCTGCCCGCAGAGCCGCTCTTCTTCCTCAAGCCCTCCTCGGCCTACGTGCGGGAAGGGTCCCCGATCGTGCGGCCCTACTACTGCCGGAACCTGCACCACGAGGTGGAGCTGGGGGTGCTCATCGGCCGCAGGGCGCAGGCCGTGCCGCAGGACGCGGCCATGGAGCACGTGGCGGGCTATGCCCTGTGCCTGGACATGACCGCCCGCGACACCCAGGAGCAGTGCAAGAAGAAGGGGCTGCCCTGGACCTTGGCCAAAGGGTTCGGCTCCTCCTGCCCCGTCAGTGAGTTCGTGCCCAAGGAGAAGATCCCAGACCCGCACAAGCTGCAGATCTGGCTGAAGGTGAACGGGAAGCTGAGGCAGGAGGGGGACACCTCGTCCATGATCTTCTCCATCCCTTACCTGATCAGCTACATCAGCCACATATTCACCTTGGAAGAAGGGGACTTGATTCTCACGGGGTCTCCCAAAGGAGTGGGGTCGGTGGAGGCCAACGATGAGATCGAGGCGGGGATCAGGGACGTGGTGTCCATGAGGTTCAAGGTGGTACAGGGCACGGAACCCCGGAGCCCAAAAGGTGTTTGACTGCCACAGCCCCGTTTCCATGGAGGCTTCAACACACCTGGAGTGCGGCCCAGCCTGGAGCAGGTGGAGCCCAGAAGCTCCAGATTCTAAAGTTTAATTCCAAAACCGTACCTGGGAACTGGAGACGGAGACATTGGAGAGGGGATGGGCCTGGCTGTCCTTCTGCGTGTGCTTCTCTTCTGCTGATGCTTTGAGTATTGCCTTAAAATAAAAATTACTGATCAAAACAATTCAAACGATGATGTAGGAGCTAAGGCTCAGCCATGCTGTGGAAAATCAAAGGTTTATGTGAAGATGTTCGGCCCTAAATCAAGAGTTGCAGCTTTGCAAAGAGTTTCCTCTACAAGATAAAGATGTTCGATTTTTTGGATTAGGTTTGTGATTCCTCTCTGCTTTTTTCAAACATACAAATTAAAGAAGGATGGCTTTTCCTCCCACTCCAGGGGGCGAAGGCAGCAGGAAGTGTGCCAGATGTTTGGCAGATTGTTTTTTTCCTAAACTGAGATTTAAAAATGTTCTAAAAGTGAAATAATGTAAAAAGATCAAGAATAAAGAAGCATATGGATAAAGATCACCACTAAACTTTTCTTTTGAGTGTTTTCAATGTATTTTTTGGTAAAACTGTAACTGCAGCAGTTGCTGTTACCCAGTGCAGTGCGGTAGTGGGAGTTTTAAATGTTTCCAGCTGCTGAAAGCCAGGCTGGGTAACTTTCCCCAGTTCCCAGCTCCAGCTGTTCCAGCACTCCCCACCGGTTTGCATGACAGCGAGTTCTCTTTCACTTCAACAGCAAGTTGTAAAATATAATTTAAAAAATCCTCCCCATGCAAACATCAAAACCTAGATTTTCAAAGGTTGCACAGAACTGGCTCACTTCTAATAAAAACAGATGGATGCTTTTGTTTTTACATAAATGCAAACCAGCAAAGTTAAACACTTTCATTTATCAGAGCCAGATCTTAATAACTGCTAGGAAATGCTTTGGTTTTAAAAGTGGGGAGTTCTACAGAGAAAAATCCTGTCTCCCAAAGGGAAGCAGCTCTGTGAGAGCAGCACAGTCCAGGGTGCTGCACACCACACTGGCAGAAGAAATTGAAGAATTCCTTTAGAATTTCTTCAGAATTAAAATAGCCATTAGGGTGAACAGTTCTGGAAGAGGAAGGATGGAATTAAAGTGTCTGTACTGTTTGCATTTCCCATCTCTGGCAACAGCAGCAGGGCATTGTTTGCAGTTTGGTCTGCAGCCCTGGGTATTGACAGAGTTGGGATTAAGTTATTGGAAACATTCCCTTCAGAATGGGAATTGTTATGGCTGGGAAATGTTAAATCATTCTTGCTACAAGAGGGATGCCATGACCCAATGCTGGCAGCATTTTTGGGGTCTTTATTGCCACCCACGAGTCAGGGGTGCAGCCTGGGATTGCTTGTCAGTATTTCCTGTTTCTGGGGGGGTTTCTCTGTGCCACGTTGCTTTAAGGGGTAGGGAGGGATCAGAGTTCCCTGGGATGTCCTGGCCTAAAACCCTTTGGCAGAGCAGGGCTGGGGGATCTCCCTCTGTTGGAAACAGGCTGAGTCCCAGCGTGCTCAGGAGTGAGGATGTGACAAATACACCAGCAGGAGGGGAAGCCATGGACTGTTTATGAACTATGGAAGCTAGAAATATATTAAAAATAGGGAAAAAATACATGGAGGAAGGCACAATGTACATACCTGGGTTCTTGAATTCCAGCTTTGGTGAACAGAGTCCTGCTTACAGCCTCAGCTTGATTTTTGCTTGCCAGAGGTCACTGCTAATTGATTACTCTGCTCTAATTAGACCTAGTCTGCCCAAAGAGACTCAGCCCTGCTGTTGCCCACAGCTCCATGTTTGGCCTCAGCAAGGTGCAGCACAAACCCAGGCAGTGTTTCAAGGGGGCTCTTTATTTCTTTAACACAAAAGCAGCAAAGCAGTTAAAACCACACAAGTTCAACAGATCTCTTTAAACCTATTTGTCATTTCTGATTTTTTCAAAGATCTCAGCTGAGTGAGGAAATTTCCAGCCCCCTTGAAAGGGGTTGAATTTGGTAGAAGTAACATTTAAGCTGAGGCCCAAGTACACTTTTTAAAGTACAATCACCCAAAAATATGAACTCAGAGGCCCACTTAGAGGCTTGTGACGTGCACTTCTTTACCATCAGAACAGACCTGGCAAAACCCAACAACAGCAGAATTCCATCTCTAACAACAGAGTGAAGGAAGCCTTTCCTAGCATTTATAAATAATTCCAGTCTCTTCCCAACAAGCTCTGACTGGCCTCTATGGGATCTGCCAGTTTGCAGGAAAGAAGATTCACTTTTAATCCAGTTCTCCAATTGGGTGATGAAGTAACCTGGAAAAATAATTAAGGATCTTTGTTATCACAGCACCTTGACAGAGATTATTTTCAGATGTTTGACAGCATGTTTGACAGATTTATTTACATTATTTCCTGTGTGAGTACACAGTTTTGCCATCTGCCTGTCACTGCTGAAGTCAAACACTTTCATTTTGTCCTGGAAATAGGGACAGAGAAAGGGGAGATGGGAGAGTAAAAAGAGTTTTTCCCAAAAGGACAAGTTTAAACATGAAAACCAGCTACTGTTTTGAATTAAACATTAAATACTAACTTTGAAGTAAATCTTGCTTCGTTCCAAGAGGAGTTGCCATTTCAATGCAGTCTTCTGCTCTTCTTCCAGCATGAGGAATTCAGGGACCTGTTAACAGGACACCACAGAGCAGTTCAGCAGGTGGTTAAAACATCTCCACAACAGAATGATGATGAAAAGAACATCTTACACACTTTTATACATTTCTAAGCTGTATTTTTGTATTTTAATGTAATGCTAGGTATGAGATGTGTACCAGGACAGTCACATTAACCAGATAAACTGCAGGGTGTTTGAAAATCAGAGTTAGGGATTTCCAGCCACGTTCTCAGAAAAGCAGTGCTCTGAATTGGGTTCAGTCTTACACTGAACACAATTCCTGTTGGCATCTGCTGACTTCCAGCTTCTGCCAAGCTCTGCGTGTCCGTCCATCCGTCCATGCTGTTTTTGTAACTCTTGCACACACGCACACAGAACATTTCAGATGTTTGTAATTCTCCTCAGGCTCCCCAGCTGAGCCCAATCCCCCTTACTGTGCAGCCCAGGGTGTCCTCAGCCACACAGTCAGCCAGGTAGCAGGAGTGCAGGGTGCCTGTGTGGTCTGTCACATCCACCAGGATGTCAAAGCTGGCAAAGGTGGACTTGGCCTCTGGAGAGACATCAGTGCAGAAGGTGCAGGTGTTTGACACCTCGTTCACGATGAACCTGCACACTGAGCTGAGACACAGGAGAGAATTCATGCACATGTGCAATTTGTTCTTCCTGAAACATTTCTCTAGACTGAGATTTCCCAAGAGACTTTGTCTTTAAAAAAATTCTTCCTCTCCTAAACTCTGGAGTCTGTCTGAGACAAAGTGACCTCTTTCTTTTTCACTCTAGGACCACAAAGAGCCCTCAACAAAACCCCACCCCAGAAACCCACATGGCATGCTCCAGAGGAGTTTGATTTCTTCTCTGGGGTGGGACTAAAGCATTGCTCCATGTCATGTGGCTCTGGGGAGGAGGGACAAGCACTTTTAGCACACACTCCAGGCAGGCAGTCGCTCACCATCTGTTGCGCAGGACTCTGGACACGCTCTCGTCGATGTCCAGGGTGGAAATGTAGCCATAAATAATTCCATGGACAGGCTCCAGCTTCCCATCACTCTGGAGAGCTTTTTCTTTCAGCTGTTCCACTGTGTAGACATCCACTACAGCCTCCACTACAAGTTTAAAAGGCAAGTTAAGTGTGTCTGAGCCAGAAATTATTCAAAGAGCAATGGCAAAAGTGGATCTTCAGGCACTCAAAAGGAGATTTAAAGCAGCAGTAAAGCCCCCCTCCAAAAAAAAAAAAAAAAGTAAAACAAAAGAGACTCAGATCAGGACTATATTAATTATTTAATCTTTGTATCCTCCAAAAGGAGTTTTTGACAAAAGCTTTCCCCCTCACTTCTCCAAACTGGTTGCAGACAGAAAGAACACAGCAGACTGGCTGCAGCTGAAGATAGGTAAAGGTAAAATAAGGGACAGCCCCAAGAAACCACCCAGACTTTACCTACTCAGCCAGGCTGGACCTGAGCTTTGTTTCTGTGAACACACAGAGCAGGAGCTCTTTCAGCTGCACTATGACATGACTGTGCAGGTAAATAAAATCAAATGCTTACAGTTGATGGTTTCATTTGGCAGCTCCTTCACGGGGCTGGGCAGAGCTCCTGCCTGGGCACTCTCTCTGATGAAGCTGAAGAGAACATTTGCTTCTGCTGTTTCTGAAAATGCATTTTTAAAAGTTACCAGTATATGTTGCATGTAAAAGTCACAGCATTTTTGTATTTCACAAGTTTTTGTTCTGGTAGCACAAACACATTGGAATTAGCCAAGATTTGCTTTTCTCTTTTTTATTTTAACTGTTAATCCTGCATGGAATAAACATATGAAGGTTGCTAACAAAAATATAAATATAAATATAAATATAAATATAAATATAAATATAAATATAAATATAAATATAAATGTATAAATGTATAAATGTATAAATGTATAAATGTGTAAATGTATAAATATATTTTTATATAAATATATAAATATATAAATATAAATATATAAATATAAAAATATAAATATATAAATATAAGTAGAAGCCAAAGGAACTGGTCATCACAGAGCAGACAAAAAGCAGGGAGCTTTGTGAGAAGCAGGCAGAAGAAATCACAGTTCCAATAGATTAATTAATGCATTCTAGCCTAGAATAATTACTAAAAACAAAGAAATACTTGAGCAACTCTTACCTGGGTTAGTTGTAATGATAGTTTTGGATATCACCGTTGCAGTCATGCAGTTCCTAAATTTGTCAAAATTGATTCTCACATCTGATGCAAATATAACTGTGCAGAAAAACACCCCCATGTTACTGGAGAGTAAATGTCACATAAAGAACTTCAATAAAACCATAAACCAGACTGGTTTACCTGTTTCTTGGGGGATCCAACTCTGTGCCAGCTGGATGGATTCATTATCCCAGCTAAATTAAACAAAAGTGGATATATCAAAATATTTTTGAAACAGCACTCCAAGTGTTTAGTACTAAATTACTCAATAATGTAGTTGTAATAAAATTGGCCAAAGAGGACACAACTCCTTTGTGACACACGTGGCACTGAAATTCCATGTGCCATGAAATTCCTGCTTTATCTCCAACAGGATAAAATTAAGATGGGTCTAAATGCACAATAAACCAGGGAAAATGCTATGTTTCAGCTTTTATCCAAGTCATTTCTAGCTAAAGCAAATCCCAGTTCAAGGAGCTGTGTGTGCAGGGCCAGGCTGATTGCTCAGATCCCCAGGCCAGATGTTCAGCACGTCCAACACTGGGATCTTTGTGCCTGGGGATGATGAGACTGGAGTGAGGTCACAAACATCCCTCAAAAATGGTAATTTCACGGTCTCTTGATAAAATCTCATTCAGCTCCTCCTAAATTTGGCTGGCAAGAGCACAGCCAAAGCACGGATTTGTTCTGGTGGGTTTTCTCCTTAATCCTTGGGAAAAGATTGAAGATATTTCCTTTTCATCTGATATTGCCCAGGCACTTCTTCACTGCTGGGCTCTGGTGTCCCCTGACAGTGCCCAAGTGCCAGCACTGAGAGAGCTGCTGGAGGAGGTCATTTCCAAATTAACCCTGGGCTGCAAGGATTCACCCCAGAGCTGCTGCTGCTCTTGGTTTTGTGGCTATGAATTGTGTTAAACATCCCTGCTGGTAACACAGATCCCAGCCCACAGTGCAGGGCTGCCTGCCTGCTTCCCCTGAGGGAACAGAGGTCCCTGAAGTCACTTTTGAACCACCAAGCAGCAATCCCAGGGCACGGGGACACCCACACTCCCACATGCCCCTGCACTTGGAAAAGCCACCAGTTTATTGAACAAACTCTGGGCAAAATGCAAAGGTTCCTCTGTGAACAAGGCACAGTTCAGGGATGGGCTGGGGGGAGCTGTGTTTGTAAACAGGACAAAGTTTGAAACTACACCCAAAGTCACATCAAAATGTTCCTGCATTGTTTTAAGTATTTTAAAACTATTTCAACCTATTTCCACTCCACTTGCAATACTGCTTGGCTTTAAAAATGGATCATGCTCTTCATTTTCCTGCCCTCCTGCTTGTGGAAGAGACACAACAGCCTTTGCAGCTGGTTGTAAAAGTCATTTCCTGAATTAGCTCAAATGTCCACATTAAAAAAAAAAGTAATTATTTGGAACTGAGCTTCATTTTGCTGTCCATGAGCCAGCAGGCTGTCAGCAAGCCCTAGAACTACACAAGATATATAAGACCACTCTAATGAATCTCTTCTTTAAGTCTCTTTTCAGTGTACATTGTTGCCTCATCTCAGTTGCCTCCTAAATAACAATATATTTAAATTAAAAGACGGGTTTATAGTTAATTAGTGTGTGTTACAGCTAATTTCTTTACCCGTGTTTGCATTCTATTTTTAGTGAATTAAAGAACATTTAGTGAATTAAAGAACATCTTACCATACTATTGGGAAAGACCTCTCTGTTTCATCAAACAGCTTTACTTCACACCTCTGGCCTTTCCTTTTGTCTGAAGTCATGAAATACTTTGGCTCCCCAACCTTGAAGAAGAAAGAGAAGAAGTCACTTGTCCTCTATTGAGTGTTTAGGGGAATAAAACTCATAACCTAGAAAAGGGAAGAAAGACTCTAGACTATTAAAAATGAGATCACTTCATTTTCCCTTCATTTTGTTGAAAAAAGTCTCATCAAAGGGTGTGTGTGGTTATTGTCACTCAGCTGCCAAGCGGAATAAATGGAGTCCTGGCCACTGTGGGGCTCAAAATCCACATTTACACGGATTTACAATGAAGTTACTCGTGGCAGAGCACAGAAATGCTCCTCACTCACTGCCATCACAGCCCAAAATCCACATTCACACAGATTTACAATGAAGTTACTCGTGGCAGAGCACAGAAATGCTCCTCACTCACTGCCATCACAGCCCAAAATCCACATTTACATGGATTTACAATGAAGTTACTCGTGGTAGAGCACAGAAATGCTCCTCACTCACTGCCATCACAGCCCAAAATCCACATTTTCACGGATTTACAATGAAGTTACTCGTGGCAGAGCACAGAAATGCTCCTCACTCACTGCCATCACAGCTGCCAGCACGTTGAGGACTCTCCCATGGAGGCTTTGTCCATTTGCCACGATGTCCCCCAGGGAATAATAATCCTGAGGGTCCTTGACAGGCAGGTGCAGCAGGGCCAGGAGCCTGGTGTCTGTGTCGTAGCAGGACGAGGTTTTAACCACAGAATGATTTTCACTGAGCAATAATTTGTAGCCACTAGAACAGAACAGATCCCATGGATCAGCACTGCACTCACTGAGGTATCAACAGTGTAAAATGTTCATTCATGTGGAAAACCAACTTTATTCCATTTTAGTTTTTCCTAAAGGTACAAAAAATTCTTGTCGATTTTACTCAAAGAACGAAGTTTACTCTGTTTAGCAAAGAACATTATTGCTTTATGACCTTCTGGTTATTAAATATATCCTCCCTTGAAATTTGACAAGACGCTGTTGAGCACAGGAGGAAGGTAAAGCCACAAAAGAAGAAAACACCAAAAATTTCTACCAATTTCATGTGGCTGGAAATTAAAGCAAGTCTTAACTTTGATCTTTCTAGAAAGAACCACCACTCCATGCTTTAAATTTACCTAGGAGTTACAGGGTTGAATTTTTCTTCTCTTTCTGCTTCCTTTGACTGAATTAATGGATTTTCAATTGTAACTAAAATAAAACATTGATAAGTAATGTTAGAAATTGATTCTAGGTACAATTATAGACATTTTTGTGTGTGCACTCTGTAAGCTCACAAGTTTTACCCAAACAACCACAGGCAGCAAAATCTTTCAATGAACTTAAAAAGATAAAAGTGCATCCTGTAAATAAATACAGGATTTTTGTTGTGGTTTTATCAGCAATCATAGTCATATCTATAACTGAGGGAAGACAAACAGCAAACTGCTTTACAGCTTATTTTTCATCATGTTTAAGACCTCAATATAATGTGAGCTTTGACATTGATTAACTGCAGGCCAGCTCTGAGCTGCTGCACTCAGTGGGTTTCTTTTGTTGACATATTTACTGGGCTTCAGTTGAAATCCTTGGAATCTTGTTCCTTTCCTCTTTCTCTTGAACAGAACTGAACAATTTGTTTCCAATTAGGCTGTTTGTGAGTCCTCAGAGCAAAACACAGCAAAGCCACCAGCACAACCCTGATTGCCATGCAAACAGAAACGTGGTGGGAATAAATAAAATAAATTAAAATAAAATTAAAATAAAATAAAAATAAAATAAAAATAAAATAAAAATAAAATAAAAATAAAATAAAAATAAAATAAAAATAAAATAAAAATAAAAATAAAATAAAATAAAAAATAAAATAAAATAAAATAAAATAAATAAATAAATAAAATAAAATTAAATAAAATAAAATAAAAAAACTCACCACAGTCACCAACCCTGAAGCTTTCTGAGAGGGATCTGATGTACTCTCCTCTGCCCCAGGACTGGACATTAATGAAATAAGTTGGGGAATCACGAATGGTAAAATTGAAGGTGTATCTCTCAGTGCCAATGTCTGCAAAAATAAACAGGGCTGCAGCAATTCCTCAGCACAGCTTGATTCCTAACTAGAATATGTGTATAAAAACTACTATTTTGGGGGTTTTCTGGATTTTAGCAGGAATTTTCTCCCGCTGGAGGCCAGCAGGTGGTGCAGGAGCACGGCGGTGGTTGGGAATGGGCTCCATTCCTGCTGTGGCTGTAGCTGTGAGGGTGTCAACCTCAGCTCAAAGAGGGAGAGGTGCGGGAGCTGTGGGAGGTGACAGCCGGGGCTGTTTGCACACACAGCCCCAGGTCTGTGCGAGCCGGGCTGGCTGACGGCCCAGGCTGCAGGGACACTGCCAGGGGGGCAATTCAATAAAGCAAAGTGTTTGCAATGCTATGGAAAATTCAGGATGTTGGTGTCTGCATCCCTGCCCTGTCTCATAGAGGTAACTAACAAAGCTTTCCAGGATCACAGCATGATGCAATAGATCACCAAATTCTCCAGGAAAACTCAGGTGATCCCCCAGAGTGCCTTGAGTGCAGGCCCATGGAGCACACACACCACCACCCTCTGTGGACTCTGCACTAGGCTGGCCCCAGTTTTGGGTGACAACAGTGACAACAATGACCTTCCCCCAAAACCTCACCCCTCCAGCAGCTCAGCAGGAGCCAGTGGCTGCAGAATAACTGAGCCCTTCTCCTGCAGCTGGAATGGCTCTCCAGGGCTGGAGGTGCTTCCTGACACTGTCTGCACCAACCCTGACTGTAAATTTGTTATTTCAATTTCCAATTAACATTATTAACAACATACAATTCCCATTTTGTCCCAGATGAAGCTGTTGCTACTCAGGCCAGAAATTACTTGTGTTGCTCCATAAGACATATCCTCAACATTTCTGTTTTAAGAGAGAGCAAACATGAAGGCAGCAGCCCCATTCCAGCAGTATTTATGGAAGAGTGGGTTCATATTGGTTCCATCTTCAGAGCATGAAACACTCCCATGACAGAGATTTTCCAATTCCTAATTGATATGGCTTAGCCAAACCAATGCTGCTCTTTCATCTTGGTTCTCAAACAGACACCATTTTTTTTTGGGTGCATTTTTATTCTATCCATTTTACACTGAGAAATCTGTTTATCATTTAAACCTTGATTTCGGTCATCTCTGCCAAATTACACAATTGAAGAAAATGAAGTAAAAAGAGTTTAAAGGGACTGTACTTTTTCGGTCTGGAAAGCTTCTGACATCTGTTTTCCCAATAACCACCCCGATTACATTCTGAAAAATAAAAAGATTATAGAGTACAAGTATTAAACCCAGATGTAGATGATGAATTAGATTTCATGGAATTATACTCTGCTGATGATAATAAACATATTTCTGGCTGGTAATCATTTTAATCTATTTACCCTACAGTACCGTATGAGCTAAAGAGTAAAACATAAACACACAAGTTTACTTTAGGAAAAAATTGTGACTAATAAAAATATTAAAATAAATGCATCTGTTTCTGTTTGCAAAGAAAATGAGAGGACAAAAGTTCACCCCAACCCTTCACAATTCTGGCTGTTCTACAGCAATCTCTCCTCAGGTAGGCAGCAGTGTTGTTGTTTCATGCTCTCTGCACAGGTCTCAGATATCCTCAAATGCTCCATGGAAAGTCTGGACAGGATTTATTTTACTCTAAAGTGTCCAAGGTTTTCCTGGCTCTCAGCACCACGAGCCACACGTGTGCACCTACAGGAGCTTGTCCTGGCCTCAGCCAAGCAGCCTAAATTTCTACAGGTGCCTTTCTCTTGCTATCTTTCAACTGACTCCAAGGGAGCTGAGGCAAGGAGCTTTTCTGTTGATTCAGACCAAAATCAATCTTATTCTGCTTTGCTAAACCCGTGTCTGTTATGTAAAAACATCCTGTTCTCAATTGTCAAACACAACTACTGGGAGCAAACACACACATGTAGATATAGACACATTATCTGTCTATCTATAATATAACATAACAGCTGTGTAGTGGGTTCTTGTTGTTTTTCAGGTGTTCCTTGGTGTCAGAGAAGGACTTTGAGGTGCTCCTTTGGGATTTAAAAGGTCAGCAAGGAAAGTCAGAGTGGGATGAGGGCTGGAAGAACAGACTGAGAGTGCAATACTGCCAGGATCCTTCAAAACATGAAGCATCCTGCCTCAATTCCACATCACAGAATCCTGGAATGGTTTGGGTTGGAGGAACCTTAAATCCCATCCAGTGCCACCCCTGCCATGGCAGGGACACCTCCCACTGTCCCAGGGGGCTCCAAGCCCTGTCCAGGGACACTGCCAGGGATGCAGGGGCAGCCCCAGCTCCTTCACACGAGCCCTTCTGGCAGCCCCGAGTGTCCCATTCCAGCAGAATTCCAGAGCCAGCAGGGAAGGGCAGGGCTGCAGTTCAATCACCCAGCCAGGATTCATTTGGTACCTGTTCCTAAAGCAGCGGGACCTGCCTGACTTCACTGCAACCATATCGACACGTGCTCAAAAATCAGCTCTCCGGCTTCCTTGGGATCACTAGAGGGAGCACGGGAACTGCCTTATCCCGCCCGGAGGGACACGCTCGGGAAGAGGCCACTTGTGTTCAGCACTGTAATATCCCCCTTCCAGACTGAACGCTTTATATCCACTGCATGCAGTGATTCTGATTAGGATTTTGGTTTTCTATTTTGGGTTTTGTTTCTTAATTAAAAAAAAAAAAATCTATCAAATTATAGCGCAACATTCCCTGTATCTCACCACCAAATGTCAAAAGAACTGACATTTAGGATGAGTGCCTGCAGAAATTAGGCTGATTGTGCCTAATTTCTGGGGTAAATATCCAATTTCACAAAGAAATCTGCCCTGGCCCTGCTGTAAATGTGTTCACCTCTGTGTCTCCAACCCCAAGCTTGCATGGGGAACTGGCAGAAGGAATTGACCTGGCTGGAAACTGTTTTGGACTGAGAAAGGGAGAAAAACTTCCAGAGATCATTTCCTTGATCAGCTCATTGTGCAACTGCCCAAGCACTCATTTTCCCAAAAGAGGAGGGGAACACCCCCCCCATGGTGCCTGTTTTGGCAGAGCACTGCTTGAGGCTGCTCAACCAACTCCTGAGCACTGCAAGTGTTTACACTTCAATCTCTTTCACTTTTTAAAATAAACAGCAAACTCATAAACCATGCCATTTGGATATTTCAAACTGTGTGTTCAGCTAACACAACACACACTGATCATTCTATCATAAATTATTATTTTATAAAAATACTTTCATTGCCGTGTGTTGCTAACTGCAATACTCGAGATAACTTTAATTTGTAAAATAAAGAAATAAAAAGCTTTTACAAAGAAAAGCTGTTAACTGGGTTAGTGGATCATTATTTGGGAGGAACTGTGAATGACAGGTTAGATTAGCATTGCTGAACACCAGTTTGGATCAGTATGGCTCTAAGGAGATAGAAAACTTCTCTTAGATCATTCCTGTTCTGTGATTCCTCTTTCATTTGTTTAAAGTAAATGAGAAAATAAATTGTGCCATCCCAAATAAAAAGTGGTGGGAATGGGAAAACTCCCTATTTTCACTCTTTCCAGGAACAACAGAGCTTCTCTGGGGCAGGGGAGGGGGGATGCTGCCCCTACTCAGGTGAGACCCCACCTGCAGAGCTGCCTCCAGCCCTGGGGTCCCAGCACAGGGAGCACGTGGAGCTGTTGGGGTGAGTCCAGAGGAGGCTCCAGAGTGACTGGAAAGGCTGAAAGAATTGGGATTGCTCATGCTGGAAAAGAGAAGCTTTAGGGTCACCTATTGATTGTGGCCTTCCAGGGGCTGAAGGAGCTGACAAGAAACACGAGAGAGGGGTGGAGTGACAGGACAAGGGACAATGGCTTCAGAGAGTAGGCTTAGGATATTGGGGATGAATCCTTCCCTGTGAGGGTGGGCAGGCCCTGGCACAGGTGCCCAGAGCAGCTGTGGCTGCCCCTGGATCCCTGGCAGTGCCCAAAGCCAGGCTGGGCTTGGAGCAGCCTGGGACAGTGGAAGGTGTCCCTGCCATGGCAGGGGTGGCACTGGATGGGCTTTAGGCTCCCTTCCACCCCCAAACCAACCTGTGATCCTATGCAAACCCAATTTTCATCCCAAAGAAACAGAACCAGCCCTGCCATGGAACTGTGAGGTTTTTACCCTGCCTTCCCAGCGTGCCTGAGACACTGCTGAGGTCCCAGATGATTGTGGCTGCATAATGCTGACTCTGTCATGTCCTCAATAATGTCTTCACTAATTCAGCATCCATTTCAAGGGCTACAAAGGAGCCTCTGATACATGGAATTGTCCAGTCAATATCTGTGCCTGTGGTACCCACAGGCTGAGGACAACTACAGCATCAATTTTCATTTTGCTGCTTTGCACACAAAGAAGGGAAGGTCCTTTCTACCCAACAATTGCACTAATGCTATCAGTACCTAAATACACATCAATTACATAATTTTGCAGTAATATAAGACAGTCAGATACAATTTCATCTGGGAACAAAAGGCTTTGAGACTTACAGGACGAGCAAGGTTTGGATGCAGATCTGAAAGTGCAACAAAGTTCTGTGCTGAACGAGAATGAGCCATTCTTTATCTGAAACTGAAGGAAGCTGACTTAGATTTTGTAAATATCCAAACAAATCACTTAAGACCATTCACAGTGAGAATAACAAGTTATTTTTTAACATAAATGTTTTGACCTAATAGCATCTGTTTTCAATAAGAGGCATTTCAAGCCATCTGAAGTAGACAATTCTATATTGTTTGCATTTGGCGGTGGAAGTTATGAATTTTACTGTGACAGCTCTACCTAAGCTTCTCAAATAAAGGCCTGTAATTTTTATTTATTATTCATCATTAAATGACTCCATTAGCACCAGGCTCTGAAAAATATTTACCCTCCTTCTCTCTGGGAAGCCAACTGAATTTAATGAGGCAGCTCATATTTAAAAGGCAATTTATATGTGAGGAAAGAGAAGTGTTGGACTGCAAAGCACCTTTAATTGAGGTTTTGGACTAAATATTAAACTACTTTAAAATGTGAGTTTATTCCTTCCTCAAAATACAAAAACTGTGAATTTATTAAAATAAAATTTGTGAAAACCAGTTCTTTCCAGGCTGCCAAAAGTAGCATTTACTGCCCAGCCCTGAGAGCACCCAGATTCTCTCTAGAGTTGCCTAAGTGGGGCCATAGTTGCTTTTTCAGACCTTCTGAATGCCTCTTATTATTTCATGGGTTCCTCAGAGACATTTAGATACTTAACAAATGGTTGTCAGATTCTGGTTTTTGTTGTAAAAGGAATTCTGGCATTGTCCAAATCTTAATAACCTTTAATAGGAGAGAACTGCTGACATTTTTCAGAGGATGCCTGTTCAATCTTTAGAACAAAATCCTGAATGGCTTTCACAGTCTTTATACCTGGAACCTCATGTGAGAATTGTTAACCATTTCATCAGGCATTAGGATAAAGGTCTGTTGAACTAGAGAACAAATAAGCCTACATTTTAAAGAAAAATAAGCAGTTATCTGAGAACCAAGTGATTTTTCTAAAAGAGCATTTCAAACTACACTCTCACAGAGAGACAGCCCAAATTTGCCTTACAGAAACCACTGAACAATGGGGCCCTCAAACCTGTTCCCATCCCATTAGATGGAAGAATTTATGTTTCCTTCTGTAGGAAAATTAGCTCAGCATCCCTCCAAGGCAGGGTAATATTCTCACCTCAGAAGTAGTTAAATATTGTTACCTGCTGTACCTCACACCAGCTGGGTCGTGTCAAAGGAACCAACACTGGAACACCTGTATCAGAGGAATATTAAAATGGTCATTTAGGATTTTAAATTATCTGGGTTCTGAGAGCTGGAGCAGAGCTCCCCCCCTCAGGGACCCCTCAACCTCCTCAGCTGCTGCTCAACCCATCATGGACCTCCTCACACATCCACCATTCCGCTCAGGTTCCCCTCACTGACCCTTCAACCTCCTCCTGGACCCTTCAGCCCCCCACTGACCCTTCAACCTCCTCCTGGACCCTTCAACCCCTCACTGACCCTTCAACCTCCTCCTGGACTCTTCAGGCTCCCCTCACTGACCCTTCAGCCTCCTCCTGGACTCTTCAGCCCCACAGGTGCCACTCAGATGCCCCTCATTGACCCTCCAACCTCCTCCTGAACTCTTCATCTCTTCAAGTGCCCCTCCCTGACCCTTCAGCCTCCTCCCGGACCCTTCAGCCCCTCAGGTTCCCCTCACCGACCCTTCAGGCCCTCAGGTGCCCCTCAGTTCGTGAGGGAGACAAGATGGCGCCGGCGTGGTGGCGGGAAAAGGGCCCCGCGCCCCCTCGTCCCTCAGGGCTGAGGGGAGATGCTCTCCCATCCCCACAGCTCAGTGGGATCTCCAGCAGGCCTGGAGTGGCTGCTTTTGAGGAGGTAACAACAGGGTTAGATGGGATTTTGGGCTGGAATTGTACCCAGTGAGGGTGGGCAGGCCCTGGCACTGCTGTGGCTGCCCCTGGATCCCTGGCAGTGCCCAAGGCCAGGCTGGAGCACCCTGGGGTAATGGAAGGGTCCCTGCCCATGGAGCTGGATGGTTTTTAAGGTCCCCCCAGCCCAAACAATCCTGTGATTCTGTGACTTACAAGATCAGGAATTAAAAGTCAGGTTCATTCTACAAATATAAACACACAATGCACCAGCAAAACAAAGCAAGTTGCAGAAATCTCTGGAGAAACCATTCCCTACTTCCTTTTTTTTTAATGTTGGTTATAAGGAAAAAAAAAGTCGCAGCCTGTATTTTATAAATTAATCAAAATTTCTGGTTTAAAGATATTATTTGTATTGATTTACACCCAATAGTCCTATATTTTCAGGCTCTGCAGAAGGCTGGCTTGAGCCGTTTTCTCCATTTATATTGAATATAAAATTATATTTCATAAAATCAATACCCTTCACTTCTGCATCATAAAAAACTTTACTCCTGATGAGTAATTTTATAACCCCAAGGTCTCAGCTATTGGAAGTTTTCAGCACAGCCTGACAAATTCTCTGTGTTGACTCTGTCTTACAGGATCTTTCATTTCTTCAATTAAACAGCTGAAAATGGATCCCACCTGTGCTCTTGTATTTATTGTGTCACAAAAATCCACGATAATTATCCTGTGCTGATGACAAACAGGATGCCAGGGAACTGACAGCCTGGGTGGGGTTTTTTTTCCTTTTTAGGTCACCTTTTATACAGTATGATCCATGGATCTAATTTTGTTTTGTAGGTTTGATGTCTCCACTAAACAGAACATGGATTTTTTTTCTGTCAGTTCTGTTGTTTTCATTACCTCAAGCTAATGAACAAGCAGAAGGTAATGAGCCTGGTGATAGGATCCCAGTGGAATGGGAACGAGAACCTGGACACTGGCTGGGAAATGCTGGCAAAGGCACAAGTCTCATTCTTACAGCCACGACTGCAATGCAAAACAGGAAAAATAATCCCTGAAATGAGACCTGTGGGGTGCCCACTGCTGCAGAAGGTGACAAACCAGCACCACAGCCCAGGGGCTCGCAGGAGCTGAGCTGGGCTCAGCATCTCAGCAAGGTTTTGGTGGGACACGAGCACCTGCGGCATGGAGCCTTGCAGGGATCCTGTGCACGGGCAGGTCCCCAGTTCCAGGGGGTTTTGTCCAGGTGGAGCTGCTTTTCTCCCACAGGCACAAAGGGCAGGTGAAACCCGACCCTGCCATGTCCCCTCCAGGCCTTTTTTCCATTTCAAAGCCACCAGAACAAGGGTGCTGTTGTGCCTCTGCTCGGCTCCCCATAATCACCGGCAGGGTTTGCTTTGTGGGCCACTTCCACTCCTATTTTCAGTGTACATTTGGGGGGAGAAAAAAAAGTTGCTTTTTAACTTTCCCAGGATAGCTCCTGCTGGGAAGACGTTATCAGGGCCATCGTGACAGGAGGCACAAAGGCAGGGGACAAAGTGAGACCCGGCTCTTTCCCTCTGAGATGTCTGATTAGATGCTGAATTTCTGCCTTGCAGATACTGAGTCAAGGACTCGTTTGATGCCCGTACCTGTCTCAGGTGACACTGACAATTCTGCCATTCACACAGCACATGGCACCTCAGGGACAGCCAGGGACTTCTGTGGTTACTGCAAACAAATAACACCTTTTTTGGTGTTTGTAACCCACAAATGTCTAACCTGCCTTTATCCCACTGATTTACAATGCCAGCTGATTCTCCCAGTCAGGAATTTTCAATACAAACACCGGAGAGCATCTGTAAAAACAAATGTTATTCAACTTGTATCCCACTTTACTCAGCCTTTCCTCCTCAGCTGACCTCCAAGTGGCCTCAAAAAGAAATCAGCATCGTTATCTCCCTCTGACAACTGGGAAAACAGAGGCGACAGAAAGGCCAGAAGAGGTTTCCTACAATCCATGTGCCACACAGAACCAGCTCCCCTCTCCAGCACCAGTGTTAATTCAGTGCTTTTCTGATCTAGCGCTTGATCCCTGAAAGCTCCGAGTGACTTGAACTCTGCAGCGCTTCAGCGGCACTTAGCGCTCTGCCGAGTCCTCCTGTGATTGGCAGGGGCCTTCCCGTACACTAGACTGCAAATTGCCCAGTCCCTGCTAATTAGCCTTCATGAATAGATTTATTTAAATTACGCTCATTGGCATGGCCGAGCAGTGCAAATGCCATTTCGTAATTCACTTTAGCAATTTGTTACGTGACCATCAGTACACTTTGAGATCAGGGGAAGAAAGTCCAGCACTAGCAGGGACGTTTCAGAAATCATTTCCAAACCTAGAGCAATATAAAAATATTTGCTCTGTGCATTTTCCACTGCCCACAGCGTTTACTGAGAGGGCTCATTGAATATTTATACATCCTTAAGACCAAAAGAACTGGTAAAATGGAGAGGGCAGACATGTAATTTTATGTAATTGGCCTGACTGAATGCATTAAAAGCAGCAAACTATTAAAGGTGCTCAGTGTTCAGTGGTTTTGGCTGATACCTGAACTGGCAGAGCCTCGGGAGCACTGATGGAGTAAGGATGGACATCTTCAGCAGCAGCAGTGCAGGTGCTGATGGAGCCAACAGGTGCTCAGTGTGTGTTTAGGGATATTTAATCTCAATTTCTCCAAGTCTTTGTTCAGCTCTCACTCCGGCCTGGTTCTCCCCCCCAGCACTGGAACCATCCCGGTGCTGTTTCAGTGGGAGCTGCACCACCACCACCTGCAGCATGGAAAAACAACAACCCAGAGCCTTGCTGTAAAATTAACACGACCCATGGTTGGTTCCCACCTCACCTGGGTCAATTCTGCCTTCTTGGGGCCAGGGAGATGCCAGGACCTGAGGCTGGTGCATGCACGTGGCAGCAGCACGAGCCTGCAGGGAGCTCAGACCCCAACAGAGGCATGAGCAAACAGAACCACAGGCCAGGGGCTCTGCTAGGAATGCCAACAGCTCTCTCTGCACAAGAAAAGCTCTATTTCTGGCAAAGACCAAAATAAAAAAGCTTTTTTTTCTGAGGTGTAAATCCCTGTGGGCCATGTAGCTGCTGTGCCCATGGGCAGGGGGGGAATGGCATTGTC